CGAAAAATGCCTTAGAATTTCATTAATAATAAGGACAAATATAAAATAATTTACTAATAGAAAGAATATGAACGGACTATAAATTAAACAATTTCGAACAGTATATTTTTTAGTATGGCTTAACGAAAAGTGTAGGTATTATATTTGGATTACACGAAACAATAATCTTTATAATATGACTAGGGGTAACAATAACAATAACAACAACAACCCAGTGAAATCTCACTAGTGGGGTCTGGGGAGGATAATGAGTACGTAGACCTTACCCCTACCCCGAAAGGATAAAGAGGCTGTTTCCGAAAGACCCTCGACTCAAGAGAACAAAAGACAAATGTAGACAATATTAATATCACCACATAAATCATAAGAAAGTCATAAGAAAAATAAGAACAACATGAAATACGAAAGAAAGATGCAAAGCAAAACCGATAGCTAGTAAATAGGTCATGCACTGAAAAATAGTAAGACACAACATTGCCACTAACTATCCTAGACAAAACCCTACCAGACTAGTCTCACAGCGGTATTAGTAAGTCAAGACTCAACTACCTCCTAACTTACAACATTAATGATCGACCTCCACAACTTCCTATCAAATGTCATGTCCTAAAAAATCTGAAGTCTCGCCATATCATGTCTGATCACCTCTCCCCAATACTTCTTAGGCCGCCCTCTACCTCTTCTCGTTTCCTCCACAACTAGCCATTCACACCTCCTTACCGGAGCATCTGGGCTTCTCTTCTGAATATGTCCGAACCATCTGAGTCTCGCTTCACGCATCTTGTCATCAATGGGAACTACGTGCACCATCTCCCGAATGCCATCATTCCTAATCTTATCCATCCTAGTGTGCCCGCACATCCACCTCAACATCCTCATTTCTGTCATTTTTATCTTCTGGATATGTGAGTTCTTAACAGGCTAACACTCAGCCCCATATATTATTGCCGGTCTAACCATCGCTTTATAGAACTTACCTTTGAGAATCGGTGACACTCTCTTATCATACAAAACTCCAGACGCTAACCTTCACTTCATCCATCCTACCCCAATACGGTGTGTGACATCCTCGTCTATCTCCCCTCCCCCCTAGATAACCGAACCAAGGTACTTGAAGCTGCCTCTACTCGGGATGACCTGTGATTCAAGCCTCACATCCACGCCCACTTCCCCCGGCTCAGCGCTGAACTTACATTCCAGGTATTCCGTCTTCGTCCTGCTCAGCTTGAAACCCTTAGACTTAAGGGCATGTCTCTAAACCTCCAGCTTATCGTTAAGACTGGCTCGCGACTCATCAATCAGAATTATGTCATCGGCGAATAGCATGCACCATGACACCTCCCCTTGAATATGGTGCGTCAACGTGTCCATCACTAAGGCGAATAAGAATGGACTGAGTGCAGAACCTTGGTGTAACCCCATTACAATCGGAAAAATGGTCAGAGTCTCCTCCTACTGTCGTAACCCGACTCTTATCCCCATGGTACATGTCCTTAATCACCATAATGTACGGGACAGACACACCTTTTGCCTCCAAGCACCTCCAGAGAACTTCTCTAGGAACCTTGTCATACACTTTCTTTAAGGATAACATTCTTCTTAAATACACAACTCAACAAGCAGCCGAATACACATACTTGGCTGCTTCTGCACATAAGACTGATCATAAAATGAAAATGCCTAAAAATGTTAAATGGAATCCACCAAATATACATTTCTATAAGCTCAATACAGATGGAGCACATTCATCCAATACTGCGGGGATAGGAGGACTAATTAGAAATTCCAAAGCTGAATGAATATTGAGTTTCGCAGGATCTGCACCACATGAATCATCCACCTTTGCAGAACTCTATACATTGACACAAGGATTAAAATTGGCATATGAAAACAACATAAGGCCACTGGAAGTGGAGGTACTATCTGGACCAGCTAGGTAATCCTGTAATCCAGCATGCGTACAGAGAACAAAACATGGTAGCAGATCAACTAGCAAAGGCAGGCCAAAATTTTGGAATTGATTATACGCCAAGTGTTTTTGAAGTTGTTCCCACTTTTGTTGCGCAAATTTTTAAAAAAGACAAGGCATGTTTGGGAGGACCTCAATCAGGCCAAGAAACTGCTTGGAAAAATCAAAGTAGCAATATGGATCAACCACCCTTGTATGTAATTAGTTGTCATGATGATAATTCCAATAGGATGATCATGACAACTGTAAATATTAGTAGCAACTTATTACTTTGTAATAGAACAATGGTTTGTGATAGGAAGCCAGTTAGGCCCCAACCCTCTGTACGCATTACCTAATTATTAATATATGTTATCTTTCTGACAAAAAAAAATTATATTGCAGAGAAAAATAAGAACATATATGCTCTACTTACTGCTATGTCCCTTTGTCAGGTCTTTTCTATACTTGTGAAATTGGCGGAGATATCACTATCGAATAAAAAATTGAGCAAATACTAAAGTTGGATCGAACACAGGGAGCGCATTAAAAATTAAGATGTGCCCTCTAAATTGACCAATGCAGTTGCCTAAGATTTGAATTTTAAAATGCCAATTAAAATACATATTTGTTATTTATATACATAAAAAAAGGGCAAGCCGATGCACGAAGCTCACGTTATGCGCGGGGTCCGGAGAAGGTCCGAATCACAAGTGTCGATTGCACGCAGCCTTATCTTTACATTTCTGCAAGAGGCTGTTTCGACGACTTGAACCCGTCACCTCGCGGTCACATGAAAACAACTTTACCAGTTACGTCAAGGCTCCCCTTCATCTATTGTATGCAGCCTTACCTTTGCATTTATGTGAGAGGCTATTTCCACGGCTTGAACCTGTGACCCCCGGTCACATAAAAATAACTTTACCAGTAACGCCAATGCTTCCCTTCATCTATTGTATGCAGCCTTACCTTTGCATTTCTGTAAGAAGTTGTTTCCACGGCTTAAACTCGTGACCTCCCGGTCACATGAAAATAACTTTACCAGTTATGACAAGGCTCCCCTTCGTCTATTATATACAGTCTTACTTTTGTATCTTTGTAAGAGGCTGTTTCCACGGCTTGACCCCTTTATTTCACGATCACTTGAAAATAACTTTACTGTTTACGCCAAGACTCTCTTCTTACTATATATATACACACATATATACATATTTTTTTTCCAAAGTTGAGGGGAGTAGGGTAAGTCGCATGCAGCTGTGTCTCAATGGAATTTGGACATTTGGACGAACACTTTCTGGTAAAAGATTCTTTTTTCTTTTTTCTATCTGCCATTATATTGCTGGCTGCAGTTTCACAGATAATAAGTAGGTCTGCACACAAATCTGTGCAACAAAATTTATTGGTTGCTAATGCTATTTCTCTCTATCTTCGTGTAGCTTAATAGCTATTGCTTTAATCCTGGTTAACTTTGTGATTTCTTAGCAATAGCTATGAGTCTATGACAATGTAGTGCTTTAATTAGCTCTAACCCTGGTTAATTTGAAAATTTGTATAATTTCATACTTCTTCGGTTCAATTTTACTTGTTCACTTTGGACTTTGCACGTCCCTTAAAAAATAATAAATCATAATTTACCATGATACCTATATTCATTAGTGCATAATCTTAAAGAATTTGAAAATGATTTGGAATGAGTATTTGATGCTAAGGAAAAAATAGGAAAAATAAATTATTTTTCTCTTGATATTAGAAAAGTGATAAGTAAAAATGAAAATTTATTTTTAGAATACTTGACAACTAAAAGTGAACGGAGGGAGTATTTTTGTAAAAGATAACCATATCGAGCTTTTCAAGTTTTAATTTAGCCAACTTTTGAAATTATAGACATAGGTCATGTCCTTCCTAAAAAATTAAATTACTTAAGAAAGTACTACATAGGTTGAGGTTTGCATTTTAAAACTTGAAATTAAACATTCTTGTAAGAAATGTATTCTTTTGAATCTCGAGAAGTAAAAATATGTATTAATACTTATTATTCATAAAACTGGATTAATTTAATACTAGTTTACGATATAGTTCGTAGAGATAAATCAGAATAGGTGTACAAGTGTGGCCATTAAGTATAATATATACACTCTCTCTCTTTCTCTATACAGCATATATATGCATCTATACTGAAATTATAATTACACAATTATGTATATGTACTATCAAAAATTGTGATGAGATTAATGTGATATTCAATCATTAATTAGACTTTATTGATCATGGTTTCGTGTCTTGAAAATTTTGATTTTTCTTTTTTTTGGTACAAAGCATTTCCCCTATAAACTTGGGAATCCACAGCCGCTATCACTTAGGTAAACTCCGCTCCAATGCAATAATTCTAGAGGCGGAGTCAGGATTTGAACCTTATGGGTTCGGGATTGTAATATTATTGGGTTTTCAATTAATAAATTATACATATTCATCTATCCTTTCTTTTCTTTTTCTTGAGCCGAGAGTCTTTCGGAAACAACCTCTCTACCCCGGAGTAGGAGTAAGGTTTGCGTACTCTAATCTCCCAGACTCCACTTGTGAGATTTTTACTGGGTTGTTATTGTTATAAGTTATACATATTCAATAGATTTCTTAAGACAAATTCATGGTTTGAATAAAAGCTACTGGGTTCGGCCAAACCCGCATCACGCACTCTGCCTCCGCCCCTGAATAGCTCGCAATCAACAGTAGAGAGGTAAACTACACTAGACAAATCCCATGCGACGAGCTCAACCGAGAAAGCATGGGAGGAGGGGTTTGAAGCTGCGCCTCCCATCTGGGGATCTCGTGCTCAACCAACTCGGTCACTCTTACGGGTTTTGAAGCATAATTTCTTTTTTAATGAATTTTACGTGATACAAATTCAAATTATTCTAACCAATAAATATCAAATACCTATAAAAAAACCATTTTTAAATTATAAAACTTATAGCTTAGTCAGGTTTCCACGTGCTCCTAGGGGACAACAAATTTCTCCTTACTTCAATACCACAAACTCTCTATTTTTTTGCACTCATTTTACACCACCTTTGCCCCTTTGACCATTTTTGCCTACCTTACTGCTTCTCCATTTTCTCTCCATCTTTCTTTTTCAAACCATTCAACTTAAGCTCTAGTAGTTGTCCTCAACATCACATTCCTCAAACAAAATACAATCTAAAATTAAAGCATATAACAAGTGTGTTTTCTTCCTTCATTTTTTGGTGTGAAAAATGGTAATGGAAGGAATTCAAGAAGATGTAGATGAAGGAAATATACAATGTATAAACCATCCTTATAAAAACAGTTCACCAGGTGGAATCTGTGCTTTTTGCCTTCAAGAAAAACTCGGAAAACTTGTTTCTTCTTCTTTTTCCTCTACCATTTTCCCTTCTTCTACTTCTCCTATTTCAACTCCTTCTTTTAGATCTGATTTTGGTGTCACTTCAACTACAACTTCAGCCTTACAAATCCCCACAAATAACAACAAAAATACTACTGATTGTAATACTAACTATCATCCATATGAGAATAATATGAGGAAATCAAGAATGCAGTTTTTGTTGAGTCAGAAGAAGAAGAATAGTAGTAATATTATGGCAAGTTCTGGTTCAGATTCTGGTATTGTTTTTAAGAGAAGTAAGTCAACTACAACCCCTAGAAATCATTTGCATTTCTTGGAAGCTGAAGATTATGGTATTCATAGAAAAGGGTTTTGGTCATTTCTTCATTACTCTTCCTCAAAGCATTATTCTTCAGGTAAAGAAACTTAATCCTAGTTTAAAGACTACCTTATCTATTAAAAATGTTAGAGACAGTAAATTTTTATTTACTTGAGCATATCTTAACATTGGAGTTTATTCTTTTTTCATGGCCAAGCATGAGAAAATTTCTTTTTTTATAAATGTATGGCGGTGAGACTTGAATGCAGTCGATTCGTCTGAGTGTTTGTTCTGATACCATATTGATATGTATGATCATTTTATTGAAAGGTCGTATGCCTCCAAGGATATATTGAAATTATTTGCATTTTATTGAAGAATTAACCTAAATAGCGGTCTACCCAACCGCTTGAACTTAAAATAGCTGGTGCAAGGGCGGATTTAGGGGGATGGAAGGGTGTTCACCCGAACTTCCTTTGCCGAAAAATTATACTGTATATATAAGGCAAATTTTGTTTTTTACCTGTATATATTATGTTTTGAATTGCCTTGACACGACCCAAAAGCATAGCTTAGTGGTTAGGGAGGTTCAAAACTTTTGTAAGGTCATTGGTTCTATTCCCACTAGCCACAACCATTTTAACTTTTTCTTTTTTAAACCCTCTTCGCGATAATCCTACCCCCGCCACTAAGCCGGTGGATATATGATTTATGTATAATCCATGTATAAACAGTGTATATGTGTACATCAGTATATAATTTATATCTACTACCTAGAAAAGTAAATAGTGAAACCAACGTCTATTTGCGTAGCAATACCTTTAATTATGTCTTCAACATGCTGCTTAGGCGTGGTTTGATTTTCTTTACCATGGGCCAATGATGTGGAAATATTTTAATAAAGGGTGGCGGTGAGACTTAACCTAGTACTTTTATCTGTTCTGGTATCATATCGAATTGTGCGCTGATCTCATCTAAAAGCTTACAAGGAAGAAAGGACAGCTTGATGCATTAAGCTCCCGCTCTACACAGGGTGCGGGGAAGGACTGGACCACAAGGGTCTATTGTTTACACTTTTATTTATTTATTTATTTATTTATGTTTTTCAACAGGATCATCTCAGAATGGTTCCATAAAATCAAGGGAGAAAAAGAAAGAAGAGATTGTAGAAGTGGAAGAAAATGAGAGTCCTAATGAGTCAACATTTGACAGAAAAGTAGCAAGATCCAGATCTGTTGGTTGTGGAAGCAGAAGTTTTTCAGGTGATTTATTTGAGAAAATCTCAACTGGTTTTGGAGATTGTACTTTAAGAAGAATTGAGTCACAAAGAGAAGGAAAACCAAGATTTTCATCTGTTAATCATAAAGAAAGAGTCAATTGTGGAGGAATATTATCTTATTTGGTTTCTTCTGAAGAAAATTTGCATGGAAAATCTCATAATATTGCTAATGGAAGAAGTAAGAATTGGGGTTGGGCATTAGCAAGTCCAATGAGAGCTTTTAGTAAAACATCATCAAGTGGAAAAAGAGAAGATTCAAACAAGAATGCTACTCCTAATTTGGCTGCAATTCCTTCTTTGTTGACTGTGAGCGGCTAAAATGTTGTCGCATTTGTGTCGGATCCTTCAAAATATTCACAAGAGACTACTTTTACTTATGTTGTATGGACTCTCCAAAATGCTGCCGCCCTCGTATCCGATCTACTAAAAGTGCACTACTTTGCAGGATTCAACACGCATCCAGCAACATTTTCGTAGAGTCCGAGTTACATGGATTTTCCAAATGCTGCTGCACTTGTATCGGATCCTCCAGAAATACACGACTTTTGCAGGATCCGACATGCATCTAGCGACATTTTTGGAGAGTTCGAATAACATTGATTTTCACTAAGTAACTACTGATACTATTACATAAATTTGAATTTTTCTTGTCCAGAACCCTGATGATTTTGCTGTCAATTGATTTGCTTTGGTTGGAGAATTTTTCCTGTTGTTGGATGCAAGTTTTTTGTAGTTTTGTAGGGAGAAATTCCCAAATTAAAAGGAGTTAATATTATTTATTTATTTATTTATGCTTCTTATTATGAGTTGAAACAATTGTAAGTATTTTCCAATAGAAAATTGTTGGATTTTGATTGAGAATGATGGAGTATCCCTGACTTTATGCATGGCTTCAGCAGTAGTTATAGGACTTGTCCGTACACCGAGGCGGACCCAAAATTTGAAGCTTGTGGATACACTTTTAAATTCAATCAAAATCTGTTTTGCATATAGGTGTCCATTAGTACGAATATATCTCTATTTTCTAAAGACATACATGTTTATATGAAGTTTTTGCCGAACTTTATAGGTGTCGGTGACCCTTATTTGTATGGCATAGGTCCGCCCATGTTTTTACAAAAATACCACTAATCTTTTACAATAATAGTGGATGACCTAGTTTGTTCGTACCACGACTATTTTATCGATATTTGTTATAAATTTGCTAACCAAAAATTAGGTAAATGAAAAGAAATTATCTAACGTCTTGTCGTACCTTTCAAGATTTAAATTTAGTATATTCACTCACTTTATTAATTATAAAATCCATAATCTTCTATAATTTTTAAGAGTATCGTCTAGCTATTTCACGTGCAAAGATTGGCGGAGACAACTAATCATTGTTAAACAAAAGGGGGATTTAGAATCATTTTCAAGTCACAAGCTCCAAGTCAAAATACTATCACATGTTTGGTAGATGGAGACACATGCAAAAAGGTCTAAATCCAGTGGGCATACGACTCCAAAACTCTAGCTTTACAAATACATACGAAAAAGTAGATATAATAACAAATTCGTGATGTATAATTCTAAAATACCAAAAAATAAATTTGAAAGTCATGACGAAGTGATGAGTATTGATCACCACGTCATTTCCTGTGGACCTAAAAGAATTCAGGTCAATCGGAGTCCGTATTAAAAAATAATACAAAATCAGTATATTCTTTACATGACTTAAAATTTTCGGATTTTGAATAGTATTTTTGTTCAGATTTATCTTTACATGAAAAGTGGCTAAATTTTGATTACTTTTGAAATTGTGGTTATTTTTGAATGACCACTTGTAAATCTGGCTATTTTTTGAATTCTCCCTAAAATTTTAGACGATTCGGAGCTCGTCGCCCAAATTTATGAAGATGTCGTAGACTAATGCACACGAAAAATTGAAAATCATCATGAATTCTTGTTTTATGGCTCTAAAATGCTAAAAAATCGTTGGGCTATGGGAAGTAATAACTATTGTTCATTAGGTCATTTCTGATGGGTCCACAAAATTTTAGGAATTCAGAGCCCATCGCCCAAATTCATGAAGATGGCATGGATATAAGCACACGAAAAAATTTAAAATCGTCCTAGATTCCTGTTTTATGGCCCTAAAACGCTAAAAATGAGGAAAGGTCATGGCGAAGCGATGACTATTGTTCATTAGATTATTTTTTATGGGCCCGTAAAATTAAAGGAGATTCGGGGCCGATCATCTGAATTCATGCAGATGGCGTGGATTATATCACACGAAAATCTGAGAATCGTACTGACTTCCTATTTTATGGCCCTAAAATGCCAAAAAATAATAAACACTTATGGTAAATCAATGACTATTGTTCCTTAGGTAATTTTGATAGGCCGGTAAAATTTAGGCCATCCGGGTCAGGTCGCCCGGGCCCATGCAGATGGCGTGGTCTATAACACATGAAAATCTGATAATCGGACAGAATTCAAGTTTTATGGTCCTAAACTGCCAAAAAACGAGGAACTATCATGGCGAAGCAAAGATGATTGTTACTTATGTCGTTTTTGATAGTCCAACAAAATATTAGGCGATCTGGGTCCGATCGCATGGGCTTATGCAGATAGCTTAGGCTATAGTATACGAAAATCTGGAAATCAGGCGAAATTTAAGTTTATGGCCCTAAAATGCCAAAAAACGAGGAACGATCATGGTGAAGCGATGATTATTGTTTTTTAGGTTATTTTTTATGGGCCGACAAAATTTTAGGCAATCAGGGCCAGACCGCTTGGGCCCATGCAGATGGCATAGACTATAGCATACAAAAATGTGGGTATTAGGGGGATCTAATTTTATGGTCCTAAAATACTAACACATGAGGAACAATCATGGCGAGGTGATGAATATTGATCCTTAGGTCGGTTTTGATGGACCGGTAAAAATTTTAGGCGATCCGCGTCCGATTGTCTGGGCCCATACAGATGGCGTAGGCTGTAGTACACGGGCAAAATTTCAGTTTTAAGGCCATAAAATGCCAAAAAATGAGTAACGGTCATGGAGAGATGGTGACTATTGTTCCGTAGGTATTTTTGATGGAACAACAAAATTTTAGGCGATTCAGATCCGGCCCCTTGGGGCCATACAGGAGGCGTAGGCTATAGCACATGAAAATTTAAAAATCGGGTGGAATTCCAGTTATATAGTCCTAAAATGTCGAAAAATGAGTAACGAACACGGCAATGCATTGACTATTGTTCCTTAGGTCGTTTTTTATGGGCCAAAATATTTTTGGGCGATCCGGGTCCGGGTTCGGGCCCACGCAGGAGGCGTGGGCTATAACACACAAAAATCTAAGAATCGGGCGTAATTGAAGTTTTATGGCCCTAATACGCTTAAAAATGAGTAACGCTCAAGGCGAGATGCTGATTATAGTTAATTAGGTCATCTTTTATGGGTCAAAAAAATTTTAGGTGCTTCGGGTCCAGCCGCTCTAGCCTATGCATACGAAAATCAGGGAATTAGGCGTAATTTCAGTTTTATGGCCCTAAAACATCAAAAAACGAGTAACGGTCATGATGAGGTGGTAACTATTATTCCATAGGTCATTTTTAATGGTCCAACAAAATTTTAAGTTGTCTGGGTCCGGGCGCCAGGGACCATGTAGGAGGCGTATGCTATAGCACATGAAAATCTATAAATCGAGCGGAATTCCAGTTTTATGGCCCTAAAAGGACCAAAAATGAGTAATGGTCATGGCAAGACGTTGATCATTGTTCCTTAGGTTATTCTTGATGGGCCAATAAAATTTTAGGCGATTTGGGTGCCCGGGCTCATGCTAGAGGCGTGGGCTAGCACACGAAAATATGGAAATCAGGCGAAATTCTAGTTTTATGGCCCTACAACGCCAAAAAATGAGTAACGGTCATGACGAGGAGGTGAATATTGTTCCTTAGGTCATTTTTAATGGGCCAAAAATTTTTAGGCAGTACAATATCGGACGTCCGGGTCCATGCAGGAGGCGTGGGCTATAGCACACGAAAATTTAAGAATCGGTGAAATTCTAGTTTTATTGACAAAAAACGCAAAAGAATGAGTAGAGGTCATGGCGATGTAGTGACAATTGGTCCTTAGTTCGTTTTTGATGGGCTGACATGACAGTTACTCGTCACCGCCTCGCCATGATACTATTTTTTTGGTATTTTAGGGCCATAAAACTGGAATTCCTTCCGATTCCCTGATATTTGAGTGATTTAGCCCACGCCTCATATACGGGCCGGGGCGTCAGGACCCGGATCGTCTAAACTTTTTTCGGTCCAACAAAAATGACCTAAGGAACAATAGTCACCGCCTTGCTATGACCGTAACTCGTTTTTTAGCATTTTAGAGGCATAAAACTATAATTCTGTCCGATTCCAAAATTTTTGATTGCTATAGCTCACCCTCCTGCATGGGTCAGGGGGCCTGCACCTGGACAGCTTAAAATTTTTCCGACCCATCAAAAATGACCTATGAAACAATTATCACTGTCTCGCCATGCCCGTTACTCATTTTTTGGCATTTTATGGCAATAAAATTGGAACCCTATCCGATTTACTGATTTTCGTATGTTATAGCCCATGCGTCCTGCATTGACCCGGACTTCCGGAACTGGACCACCTAAAAAACTTTCAGCCCATCAAAAATGACCCAAGGATTAATAGTCATTGCCTCACAATGATCGTTACTCATATTTTGGCATTTTAGGTGCTTAAAACTGAAATTCCTCCTAATTCCCAGATTTTCATGTACTATACACCTCTTGCATTGGCTCGAGCGCCCGAACATAGATCTTCTAAAAGTTTTTCGACCCATCAAAAATGACCAAAAAAGCAATTGTCACTGTCTCGCCATGACGTTACTCGTTTTTGGCGTTTTAGGGCCATAAAATTAAAATTTCGCTCGATTCCTAAATTTTCGTGTGTTATAGTTCATGCCTCATGCATGGGCACGGGCGCCCGGACCCAGATCGCCTAAATTTTTTCTGATCCATCAAAATTGGCCTAAGGAACAATAGTCACTGCCTCGTCACACAGTTATTTGTTTTTGCGTTTTAGGGCCATAAAACTATAATTCTGTCTGATTCCCAATTTTTTGTATGTTATAGACCCTGCCTCCTACATAAACTCAGGCGCCCTGACTCGAATTGCCTCAAATTTTTTAGCCTTGAAAAAATGATCTAAGGAACAATAGTTACCGCCTCGCCATGACAGTTACTGGACTCGGACCGCCTAAAATATTTTCTAGAAAAAACTACCTAAGGAAGAATAGTCACTGCCTCGCCATGACCATTACTCATTTTTTGGCATTTTAGGACCATAAAACTAGAATGTCACTCGATCCCCAAATTTCCGTATGATATAGCCTCGCCTCCTGCATGAGCACAGGTGCCCCGACCCGGACCGCCTAAAAAGATTTTATAAAAAAAATGACCTAAGGAACAATAGTTACCACCTCACCATGTCCGTCACTCGTTTTTTGGCATTTTAGGGCCTTAAAATAGCAATTCTGCTCACGGCCTCCTGCATAGGCTCGGGCGTCCGGACCCGGATCTCATAAAAAAATTTCATCCCTTCAAAAATGACCTAAGGAACAATAGTCACTGCTTCGCCATGACTGTTACTCATTTTTTTGCGTATTAGGCCTTAAAACTGGAATGTCGCCCTATTCCTAGATTTTCGTATGCTATAGTCTATGCCTACTACATGGGCCCGAGATGGATTACCTAAAAAAATTTCGGACCATCAAAAATGACCTAAGGAACA